ACCCCGGAGGTCATAAACAGGCAAGGAAAGAGTATTTACCCTCTCCTTGTGAACTCTCTTCCTGGCCTTAAGATTAACAAAACTAGCAATAGCTACATCAAAGAAACCTACTATCTTTATGACCCAGGATGCCTCATGAACAACTGGCAACTGGTCTGTGTACGTGACTTGTCAAACAAGAGAAATGGGACATAGATGCAGAGGCGTGAATTGATCAGAAATCATATCAAAATGGCTCAAACCCAGTCAACGCAATGCTTTAATTGCTGACACAAATGGCTTGCTCCATATTTTTTATAATTCCTCATAGCAATCCCACCTGATCACTACAGCGCGGAAATCCCCAGGTTGCATATTATGAATGATCCAATCCTGACCTGCCGTCTTCATCCTTGCAGGGATGACGAGGAATAATAATAATAATAATAATGTTGTACCTTGGAAGTCAAATGGAATCTGTTCCGGAAGTCCTTTCCACTTCCAAAACGTTTGGAAACCAAAGTGTGGCTTCCAATTGGTTGCAGGAAGCTCCTGCAGCCAACTGGAAGCACATCGGACGTTGGGCTTCCAAAAAAAACCATTAAAAAAAATGGAACCGGTCATTCGGGAGCCAAAACGTTCGACTTGCAAGGCGTTTGCTTCCAAGGTACAACCGTAATAATAATTTATTTATTGCAACCCCCGCCCATCTGAATGAGTTGCCCCAGCCACCCTGGGCAGCTTCCAGCATATATCAAAACATGTATCATAGAATCATAGAATCATAGAATCATAGAGTTGGAAGAGACCACAAGGGCCATCGAGTCCCAACCCCCTGCCAAGCAGGAAACACCATCAGAGCACTCCTGACATATGGTTGTCAAGCCTCTGCTTAAAGACCTCCAAAGAAGGAGACTCCACCACACTCCTTGGCAGCAAATTCCACTGTCGAACAGCTCTTACTGTCAGGAAGTTCTTCCTATGTTTAGGTGGAATCTTCTTTCTTGTAGTTTGGATCCATTGCTCCGTGTCCGCTTCTCTGGAGCAGCAGAAAACAGCCTTTCTCCCTCCTCTATGTGACATCCTTTTATATATTTGAACATGGCTATCATATCACCCCTTAACCTCCTCTTCTCCAGGCTAAACATGCCCAGCTCCCTTAGCCGTTCCTCATAAGGCATCATTTCCAGGCTTTTGACCATTTTGGTTGCCCTCCTCTGGACACGTTCCAGTTTGTCAGTGTCCTTCTTGAAACTGTGGTGCCCAGAACTGGACACAGTACTCCAGGTGAGGTCTGACCAGAGCAGAATACAGTGGCACTATTACTTCCCTTGATCTAGATGCTATACTCCTATTGATGAGGCCCAGAATTGCATTGGCTTTTTTAGCTGCCGCGTCACACTGTTGGCTCATGTCAAGTTTGTGGTCAACCAAGACTCCTAGATCCCTTTTCACATGTACTGCTCTCAAGCCAGGTGTCCCCCATCTTGTATTTGTGCCTCTCATTTTTTTTGCCCAAGTGCAATACTTTACATTTCTCCCTGTTAAAATTCATCTTGTTTGTTTTGGCGCCAGTTCTCTAATCTGTCAAGGTCGTTTTGAAGTGTGATAGGGATTACCTTTCTAACTTCCCTCCCAAAGGAGCCCAGGTAGGCAAAGACTTCCTTGCTAAAACACTACAATTAGAACGGAAAAATTATGAAAAACTAAAAGCAATCACATACTCTCACAGCCAATAATCATCTTTCAGGGCACACTCCCAAGTCTCAGATCACGTGTTCCTGCCCTGCTTCAGTCTACTTCCAGTTTTGTAGGTTATGGTTTGAGGAAAGATTCCTGGAAGGCAGAGAGCAAGACAGGCATTAAGACTCTTGTCTGCAATGATGGATGCCATCCTTGTCCCTTGTGATATTTGTGACATGGTTTTTGGCAAGATCTGAATGCAATAAAAGGACAACAGAGGATCTTGCCAGTACTCGGAGGCAATGAATTCAGTTTTATTTAAGCAAACACTGGTCAACACAGATTACAATGCAAAACACGAAGACAATTACAGCATAAACCTAGAAATCCTCTTAATACCTCTATGGGTCCCAATCACACACCTAGCTTGGCTGCAATTGCATACTCACTTTCCTGTAAGTAAATGCCCCAGTGTGGCTTAGTGCAGAGGTGGTTTTATGAAAGTGCAACTTGTTCAGCCGCACTGGGCACCGGCATCGCAACAATGATGTAGAAAGCATCACAAGAGGTGGGGGAGACACTGAGTTTTAGCGTTGGACAGGGCGCACTTAAATTTGAGAGCCCAAGGTACACCACTGCTTAGTACCAAGTCAGCAGGTCTATGACTGGCCATTTAAGCATGATTTAGTCCATTGTGGCAACCATGTAAACCAGTACTCCATGGCGTCACTATCCCAGTTCACACTACTGCGCATCCCTCTTTACAGTGGTACCTCGGGTTACATACACTTCAGGTTACATACGCTTCAGGTTACAGACTCCGCTAAACTCAGAATAGTACCTCGGGTTAAGAACTTTGCTTCAGGATGAGAACAGAAATCGTGCTCCGGCGGTGCAGCAGGAGGCCCCATTAGCTAAAGTGGTGCTTCAGGGTTAAGAACAGTTTCAGGTTAAGAATGGACCTCCGGAACAATTAAGTACTTAACCCGAGGTACCACTGTATTTGCACCTCCTGCTTCTCGACTGGCAGTAATGCAGCCTTCAGAAAAGCATTGATCAGAGGTCACTAAGGGCTGGGCTATACAGTGGTGCCTCGCAAGACGAAAAGAATCTGTTCCGCGAGTCTCTTCATCTTGCGGTTTTTTTCGTCTTGCAAAGCAAGCCCATTAGCGGCTTAGCGCTATTAGCGGCTTAGCGGGCTTAGCGGATCAGCTGATTAGCGGCTTAGCGGATCAGCTGATAAGCGGCTTAGCGATCAGCTGTTAAGCGGCTTAGCGGCTTGGGGAAAAGGGGGGGAGGGGAAAAACCCTGCAGGAACTCGCAAGACATTTTCGTCTTGTGAAGCAAGCCCATAGGAAATTCGTTTGCGAAGCACCTCCAAAACGGAAAACCCTTTCGTCTAGCAGGTTTTCCGTCTTGCGAGGCATTCGTCTTGCGGGGCACCACTGTATATTGGTCCATATATTTCATGATTTTTTGATATGGCAATATAATGTGAATCATTAAGTGTGTTAGGACTGGGCTATATATCATCCAAAACTGGTTTGAAGTCCATGTTACGATATCAGTTTCATGATTTTTGATCTGGCAATATATTGTGAATCATGAAGTGTGTGTGATGATGATTTATTTATACCCCACCCATTTGGCTGGGTTTCCCCAGCCACTCTGGGCAGCTCCCAACAGAATATTAAAAATAATCATAAAGAGATAAAACATTAAAAACTTTCCTAAACAGGGCTATCGTCAGATGTCTTCTAACAGTCAGATAGTTGTTTATTTCCTTGACATCTGATGGGAGGGCGTTCCACAGGGCGGGCGCCACTTACTGAGAAGGGGTGTGTGTGTTGTGTTTGCTATGCAAAAATCACAATGTGGATAAAACCAGGAAGCCAGCCAATACCTCATCTCCATTCTTATTTCAGACATAGTGATATATCAGTATATCACAATGTTTAGCTGCTGATATATGACAGTGTTGAAAACCAGATATCACCCAGCCCTAGGGGGTCATCCAGAAGCTAACATCTATATTAATTGTACTGCCCACATTTGCTTCTGGACTCCACCTCCAACTAGGGACGCGGGTGGCGCTGTGGGTTAAACCACAGAGTCTAGGACTTGCCGATCAGAAGGTCGGCGGTTCAAATCCCCACGACGGGGTGAGCTCCCGTTGCTCGGTCCCTGCTCCTGCCCTCCTAGCAGTTCGAAAGTACGTCAAAGTGCAAGTAGATAAATAGGTACCGCTCCAGCGGGAAGGTAAACAGCGTTTCGTGCGCTGCTCTGGTTCGCCAGAAGCGGCTTAGTCATACCCACATGACCCGGAAGCTGTACGCCGGCTCCCTTGGCCAATAAAGCGAGATGAGCGCCACAACCCCAGAGTCGGCCACGACTGGACCTAATGGTCAGGGGCCCCATTTTACCACCTCCAACTGGCATGTGGCCCTCACAAGGAGGGCAACCTTCAGGCAGAAAAGGGTTGCCCAGCCCCAACCAAAAACACCTGTTTGCTGTCAACCCAAAAGTAACTCATGGCCTGCCTGTCAATGGTAGGGCCAGCGAGAATGGCACCTTTGGAGGGGATAAAAGGGATCTACAAAAGAAACATGGAAGCACACTGTTACTCAGCAAAAGAAAAAGGAAATCTAAGGGGGGTCCTATTCACACCTTCTTTAATGGGGGGTGTTGCCAGACAGGAAAAAGCACCATCAGGCTACAGGAGAGGGAGGGAGATGGTACTGCAAGTCTTCTCCATTGCCTCTACTGAAACACCAACTGCAGCCATTCTATCGGATTTAGGAGAGGGGGTCTCCCCATCAACTTTGCCGAAAGACCAGCCATGTTCGCTTCCTTCTCTCCAATTTTCTTCCATTTCAGATAGTAGTTACAAAAACCTTGCGCTCCCAGAAATTATTACCTAGCACCTGGTCTGAATTCTTTGAAGTCGCACCTTGGAAGTCAAACAGAATCCGTTCCGGAAGTCCCTTCAACTTCCAAAGCGTTCAGAAAACCAAAGCGCAGCTTCTGATTGGCTGCTAGAAGCTCCTGCAGCCAATCGGAAGCACCGGAAAGCCCCATCGGATGTTCGGTTTTCAAAAATAGTTCTCAAACCGGAACAGTCACTTCCGGGTTTGCGGCGTTTGGGAGCCAAAACGTTCGAGAACTAAGCTGTTCGAAAACCAAGGTACGGATGTATCTGAGTTATTTCACTAGAAACTCGCTATTCCAAACGTGCTTATTGCTTCTAAGGCAGTGTGAATCTTTTGATATGGTTTTAAGCTCACAACTACTTCTGGAGCAATTTCCACACTCCCTGCATTTAGAAGGTTTCTTCTCACATGCAAATCCTCTGCTGTGTTACTACAAACCATTCCTAAGGCTTCTCTTCCATGTGGATTCTCTGGTGTAAAATAAGTTGCGTGCTATTGCTGAAACTCTTTCCACACTCCAAGCATTTGTATGGTTTCTGCACTGTAGCATCTCTGTGGACTTTCCGGTGAGAAGAGAGACTTGAAACCTGGCTGTAACTCTTTCCACATTCTGAGCATTTAAACGGCTTCTCCCCTGTGTGGGTGATCTGATGTCTCGTAAGGAGTGTGCTGTCACAAAAGCTCTTTCCACACTCCAAACACTTGTAATGTTTTTCTCCTGTGTGGGTTTTCCGATGCGATGCAAGTTGTGAGGTGGTACAGAAGCTTTTCTCGCACTCCGAGCAGTTGTACGGTTTCTCTCCTGTATGGATTCTGTGATGAGAGGTAAGACTTGAATTCCAACTGAAGCTCTTTCCACATTCCAAACATTTAAACGGTTTTGCTCCCGTGTGGATTCGCTGATGGGAAGTAAGGTGTGTTCTCTGGTGGAAGCTCTTTCCGCAATCCAAGCACTTATATGGTTTCTCCCCTGTGTGGATTCTCTGATGTAAAGTGAGGTTTCGGCTCTGACGGAAGCTCTTACCACAGTCTGAACATTTATATGGTTTCTCCTCTTTGTGAATTATTTGATGCCTGTTAAGAAGTGTGCCATCACTGAAGCTCTTTCCACACTCCAAGCATTTGTAAGGTTTCTCTCCTGTGTGGCTTCTCTGATGTAAAATAAGCTGTGTGCTGTTACTGAAGCACTTCCCACACTCCAAACATTTGTATGGCTTCTGTCTTAGGGCATCTCTGTGTATTCTCCGATGTGAAGTAAGACTTGACCTCTGACTGTAGCACTTTCCACATTCCAAGCATTTAAATGGTTTCTCCCCTGTGTGGATTATCTGATGTCTAGTAAGGAGAGTGCTATCTGAGAAGCTCTTTCCACACTCTGAACACTTGAAAGGTTTCTCTCCCGTGTGAGTCTTATGATGTGATGCAAGTTGTGTGGTGGTACAGAAGCTCTTCCCACACTCCACACACTTATGTGGTTTCTCTCCTGTGTGAATCCTGTAATGTGAAGTAAAATTTGAATTCCAGCTGAAGCTCATTCCACATTCCAAGCATTTAAATGGCTTCTCTCCTGTATGGATTCGTTGGTGGGAAGTAAGGTGTGTTCTCCGATGGAAGTTCTTCCCACAATCCAAGCACTTGTATGGCCTCTCCCCTGTGTGTATTCTCTGATGTAAAGTAAGGTTCCTGCTCTGACGGAAGCTCTTCCCACATTCCAAGCATGTAAAATGGCTTCTCCCCTGTGTGGATTATCTGATGTCTAGTAAGGAGTGTGCTATCACAGAAGTTCTTTCCACATTCCAAGCACTTGTACGGCTTCTCCCCTGTGTGGATCCGCTGGTGTGAAGTAAGGTTTGAATTCCAACTAAAGCTCTTTCCACATTCCAAGCATTTAAATGGCTTCTCCCCTGTATGGATCCGTTGATGGGAAGTAAGGTTTCTGCTCTGGCGGAAGCTCTTTCCACACTCTGAACATTTATACGGCTTCTCTCCGGTGTGCGTTCTGCAATGGACAGCAAGGAGAGACTTAGAAATGAAAGCTTTCCCACAAAAAGGGCACTCATACCTCTTTTTCCCCTTGTGGTGTTTATATTGTACTGGGGTTTCATGAAGGTCATCAGCGTGACACACAATGGATTTCTCTCTCCAGTTCTCTGTATGGTTTTCTTCCTGCCTCCTTGATTCATCTGAGGGTTGAAGGTCTTGTCCCCAATTCATGAACAGCTGCTTCTGGTGGCACCCGATATGGTTCTCTACAATTCTCCTGTCCATCACCTGCTAGAATAAAGAGGGAATCAAGATAAGAAGAGAAATAAGAGTCAGTTGGCTGTTCTTTCGGTATTTATTTCATATACGTGTGTGTGTGTGTGTGTGTGGTGTATCACATAAAACTAAGAAAGTCTGTGTGGTTTAACCAAACAACAAATACAATCTCAGGACCACAATACCTCAAGGACCGCCTCTTTTCATATGAAGCTCCTCAGACCCTGAGATCATCTTCCGAGGCCCTTCTTTGTGCGCCTCCTCCTCGAGAGGTCCGGAGGGTGGCAAGATGAGAATGGGGCCTTCTCTGCGGTGACTCTCCATCTTGTGGAATGCTGGTCCCCACGGAAGTTCGCCTTGCGCCTTCACTATACACCTTTAGGGCGCCAGGCACCATGTTCATGTTTTAACCAGGACTTTGGTTGATCTGATTTACATCCTATGCCCTTTTAAAATGTGGGGGTTTTTTGGGGGGGCTATTAGGTTGTTGCTTTTATTTTTATTATGTATTTTGTGGTTTTATATATTGATTTTATTCTGTGAACCACCCTCAGACCCCCCCCCCCGGGTATAAAACGGTATATAAATTCAATTAATAATAATAATAACAACTACTATTACTACTAAAGGTAAAGGGACCCCTGACCATTAGGTCCAGTCGTGGACGACTCTGCGGTTGCAGCGCTCATCTCGCTTTACTGGCCGAGGGAGCCGGCGTACAGCTTCCGGGTCATGTGGCCAGCATGACTAAGCCCGCTTCTGGCGAACCAGAGCAGCGCACGGAAACACCGTTTACCTTCCCACCGGAGCAGGACCTATTTATCTACTTGCACTTTGACATGCTTTCAAACTGCTAGGTTGGAAGGAGCAGGGACCGAGCAATGGGAGCTCACTACATCACGGGGATTCGAACCACCGACCTTCTGATCGGCAAGTCCTAGGCTCTGTGGTTTAGACCACAGCGCCACCCGCGTCCCAATTCAGTAATAGGGACCTGCGTCCCTATTACTACTACTACTACTACTAAATAACTCCAAAATGTATTATTATATTATAATGTCATATAACAGAGTAAACCCCCCCCCCAAAGCAAAAACATTGCAGCACATTTCCAAACATTTTAAGATTCAGGGATCTCTTCTCTCTTCCAAAGACACATCCTGACTCACAATACACAACACGCACCCAACGATCACATGCACATCACAGCCAAATTCCATCTTACACCTGGCAAATCATACAGTATCACTCATTCCATTCTAACTCTCACATCTGTCACAGGAATCCAGCCAATCATTCCAATTACTCTCTCAGTCACCAAACTGCTTCCGCTCTACTGATAAAGTACTGCAACAACATCAGGACACAATGAAACTGCTCAATGACCGAACCGTGTAAAGTAATATATTGCAATGAATGGCCACTTTTCAATCACACAGATGTGCCGTTCCCAACAGTAATCTGCCTGTTACCTAAGCTTACTATCTCCTACCCGAGGGTGGGTGGAGCTGCAGAACACCCTCCTTGGGACTCATCCTGTCACCGTGGGGTGCCCTCAGACATTTCTGTCAGTTTGCATTTCCTGGTACAGAAAGTACTGATCTGATATGTATCTTTCCTATTCTAACTAATTCAAGAGGGTTCTGGAAGCTGCTGGAAGCTTCTCTGTGTGAAAGAAGCAAGCAGAAGGTTATTCCTTTAGAGAAGCTGAGTTCAGCTGGTTTAAAACTGGTTCTCTTATCTCTTTCTGTCAAGGTCATGCTGACTATGATAAGAGGCCAGAAGGAGCCTGGCTTTCACATTTGCTCTTTCTATCTCTTTTCCGTCTAGTGTGGTGTTCTGTACATAGTATGCTTGGTGTTGAGGTTTAGACGTATTATAAGTTATTGTAAGTTTAAGTTAAGTCCACTGCTACTGGATTTCTTATGGACAGTGCCAATCCTGAATGTATTGGATTTGTGACCATGATGCTCATTTGCCTTCAGTAGCAGTAAAGCTCTGCTGGATGAAATATAATTGCCTGTGGTCTATTTTGGGGGAATCCTGCAACACGTTTAAGATTTTACTCTGCTAACTATACAGTGGACGTTTGGGTTGCAAACGTGATCTGTGCGGGATGCACGTTCACAACCCGCAGCGTTCACAACCTGCAGCGGCGCATCTGCACACACGCGGGTTGCGATCCAGCACTTCTGCGCATGCGCAAAATGTGGTTTAGCGCTTCTGCGCATGCGCGGCCGCCGAAATCCGGAAGTAACCCATTCCGGTACTTCCGGCTTTCGGCGCGTCTGTAACCCAAAAAAAACCCCAACCTGAAGCGTCTGTAAGCCGAGGTATGACTGTACATTGGAATCTAACTCTGGATCAATACTGAGTAGAATTTCAATGGCAATTTCAACCCACACAAGAAGCATTCTGCAAGCAACACAACTACTACAGATCTGGTTCTTTCCTCATCCTGTTCAACCTGATCATGAATTCATCTGGAGAATGGACAAGTTGACTGCTTCTACAGCAATATCAAATAAAGACACAAGTATACTTACCCAGAGAGGTCTCATTCCCACAGTTCTCCGGCATGACTTCCTCGCACGCATCCATCTCCTCAGAGGATGGAGGAACCTGGAGAAAGTCAGCGTAACATAAAAAGAAGAAGAGGAGGAGGAGGAGGAGTTTGGATTTGCTATCCCGCTTTATCACTACCCGAAGGAGTCTCAAAGCGGCTAACATTCTCCTTTCCCTTCCTCCCCCACAACAAACACTCTGTGAGGTGAGTGGGGCTGAGAGACTTCAGAGAAGTGTGACTAGCCCAAGGCCACCCAGCAGCTGCCTGTGGAGGAGCGGGGAAGCGAACCCGGTTCACCAGATTACGAGTCCACCACTCTTAAGCACTACACCACACTGGTGATGGATCAGGCCAAAGGGCTATGTGTTACTACAGAATGCTGTTCTCACAGTGACCAGCCAGATGCCCAAAATCAGAACGTGAGGCTAAGCTGAGCCAGAATGGCTGAAGCAGGCCTAGGACTGGCCAGATCATTCCTCTTTGGAAACAACTCTCTCCCTATCTAGGATTGCCAGCAACTTGTATTTACAGAGGTACAAAATTAAATATTTTTGGCTGGTGGTCTTAATGTTTTCATAGCAACATACTCCTTTCCTCTTTTTTTGCATCCTTCATTGTCAGACTTCCTGCATATAAAAAAGGGGGTCTCTGCGCTGAGTGGCAACCCTTCCCAGATTCGGAGATTCATAGAATCATAGAGTTTGAAGAGACCCTGAAGACCATCTAGTCCAACCCCCTGCAATGCAGGAATATGCAGCTGTTCCAAATTTTGAAATACATTTATAAGGAAGAGTGCAACACATAGGTAAAATAGTGAGAAAATGGGAGAGTGCAGTGCGGACTGACTCCAGCTACAAAAGCTGAAGCTGTCGAACAGATTCTTGGGCTGGGGTATTGTTTATGGGGGGTTGAGAGAGCTGTTGCTGTTATTGATATTACTGTTGTATCTTTAGTTTTAGATCTTATGATTTACGTGGAAATTGTTTCCATTTGGTTGTGTACTTTATGATGTGCTTTATTTATTGTTTATGACTTTTGTTATGCTGGTAATTATGTAAATCTTGTCATGTTGTAAAGCTGCCTTGAGCATAGTTTCAACTATGGAAAGGCGCGATACAAATAAAATGATGATGATGGTGAAAATAGTGACACAATGCCTTCATAAAAGGAATACACTATAAAGTAAATAAATTAAAATATAAGGAAAAGGCTGTGTGTGTGTGTGTGTGTGTGTACGTACATATATGTATGTGTGTGGTAACTGTTCAGATGTCTGGAAGCCGTGGCTGAATGGCTACGTGGGAGCCGGTTGAAGTTAAATCCTTCAAAGACAGAGGTCCTTTGGCTGGGTCGAGACAATATGTGGTTGGGGGCCAACTCCCATCCCTTGCGGGGGTGCAACTAGTGCCAGGGCCTTCTGTCAAGAGTTTGGGTGTAATCTTCGACGTCTCCCTTTCTATGGAGGAGCAGGCTACAGCTATACCAAAGGCGGCATTTCTTTCATCTCCACCAAGCTAAGCAGTTGGTCCCTTACCTCTCTCGCCCTGACCTCGCCACTGTGATCCATGTGACGGTCACCTCCAGACTGGATTATTGTAACTCGCTCTACGTGGGGCTGCCCTTGAGACTGACCCAGAAACTCCAGCAGGTGCAGAATACCGCAGCAAGACTCCTTACGGGGTCTTCACCGCAGGATCACATTCACCCAGTGCTATACCAGCTGCACTGGCTCCGGGTGGAGCACAGAGTCAAGTTTAAGGTGCTGGTTTTAACCTTTAAAGCCCTATATGGCCTAGGACCCTCATACCTATGGGACTGCCTCTCCTGGTATGTCCCACAGAGGACCTTACGTCCTGCAAATAACAACACCCTGAAGATCCCGGGTCCCAGGGAGATCAGACTGGCCTCGACCAGAGCCAGGGCCTTTTCAGCAGTGGCCCCGGCCTGGTGGAACGCTCTCTCACAAGAGACCAGGGCCCTGCGAAATTTGACATCCTTCCACAGGGCCTGCAAGACGGAGCTGTTCTGCCAGGCCTTTGGTCAGGGTTGAGTCTGACTCATTTTCTCTTTGTATAAGAACAAGCACGAAGGAGGTTTCCCAGCCCGCTCACAGGTCCTTATAATATCAGTGGAAACAGTTGGTCCTGGCGAGTATTAACCGCTTTCAGTTTTAACCTGAGGATTGTCATTTGTCCAGTTTTAATTTTAACTTATTTGAATTAATTTTGGGATGCATTTTAATCGATTGATTGCTTGTTTTATGTATATTGTATTATTTATATGATGTTAGCTGCTCTGAGTCCAGCTCCAGCCAGCGAGCGCAGAGTATAAATGAAAAATTATTATTATTATTATTATTATTAAATAAATGCATGCAATAAATAAGCAATAAATCTATGCAGGGCATCTGGGCCTGCGTCCCTGTATCCAGCTATCCCTCTAATGACTCCTCTGTCTAGCAGAGCATCCCTTCCAGGGCATAGCTGTCAACTTTTCCCTTTTCTTGAGAGGAATCCTAATCGGAATAAGGGAATTTCTCTTTAAAAAAGGAAAACGTTGACAGCTATGTTCCAGGGGTCCCAGAAGGGTTGCCACCTGTCCTGTAAAATACAGGATTGTCCTGTATTTCAGTGTAAAATGCTACATCCTGTATTGATAAGCTGTCCAGAGTGCTGGGGAAACCCAGCCAGATGGGTGGGGTATAAATAATAACTTTTTCTTCTTATTATTATTATTATACAGTTTTGACCTGTATTTCAGGTCTTTCTCTCTCTCTCCCCCCCCCCACCCTCTCTCTCCAAATTAGGGATCCTCTCCAAATGCCTGTGCTTGGTAGGGTGAGTGAAAGGTCATGGAATTGCAGACTTGGAAGGGACAACTAAGGGTCATCAAGCCCAACCCTCTGCAGGTCATACATTTAAGCTCTGGGTAGCCAAGCACAGACTTACAATGCATGTTTGTGTGCAGGAAATTCCAGAGGGACACATCCTGTTAGGCTGCTAGGTTGCAATTTCGGTTGTTTCGGAGTCACCAGATGAAAACAAAAAAAACCAAACATGCCCTGCAACCAGCCCACCCCATATTTTGCCAGAATGAAGGTCCTGGGCAACCCTAGGTCCTGGGCAGTGAAGGGCCTGACCCAGCTTCAAAGAAGACCCCACCCCAGTTTAGCAAGAGATGTTGAGCTGGGAGGGGCGGGGTGGGGGATTGAACCTGCAACCCTATGCATTGCGGGGAAAGCGCCCAGCCCTCTTCTCCCCCCCCCAACCCCTACACCCCCTCCTCCTTTTCATTGGGGTGGGGAGGGGGTTCTCCCTCCATAACAGAGCTATCCCTTCTCTAACCCCCCCCACTATCCCCTTTCCACTCACCTTTCCAGCTTTCCCCCCAAAAAAATGGTGGTGGGGGGCAGAGTAGAGGAAGGGTAGGAAGGCCACCCACCCCACCCCAGCTGACAGCCTGTGGCCTCTCTAGGAATGCAAGAACCCCTCCCACTCCTCCTCAATAAAGAAAAATGATTGATGGAGGAGGAGGAGGCAGGTATGGCCGGAAACGGAGAGAGAGCGCTGCTTCCTAGAGAGGCAGCACTTCCGCCCCCTCCCCGTGGGAAAGGAGCAGGGTATTGTCCCACGCGCTGAGCTGCGCGACGCGCCTCTGCTTCTGCCTTCTTGGCAAGGGAGCGTGTGGGTGCAAAGCGCCTTTTTGGGGTGCAAGGGAACTGGGGAGGGAGGGAGGGAGGAAAGGAGCCCTGCTCCAAGCAGGGGGTGAAGGCAGGCAGGGAGGCTGCTTCTGGAGGAGGTGGGGACATAGGATGCTGCTGCCTGATGCCCCGTCAGGCAATTGGGGGATCCAGCTCACTCCGGGGTTGCCACCTGTCCTCGGTCATACAGGATTGTCCCGTATTTCAGTGTGAAATGCCACATCCTGCATTGATACAGTTTTATCCAGTGTTTCACCCCTCTCTGCCAAGTTACGGATCCTCTCCAAATGCCTGTGTTTGAAAGGGTGTGTGAAAGGTCATGAATTTAAGATCTGGGTAGCGAAACAGAGGCAGATTTGCAAATACAGTGGTACCTCGGGTTAAGAACTTAATTCGTTCTGGAGGTCCGTTCTTAACCTGAAACTGTTCTTAGCCTTAGGTACCACTTTAGCTAATGGAGCCTCCTGCTGCTGCCGCACGATTTCTGTTCTTATCATGAAGCAAAGTTCTTAACCCGAGGTACTATTTCTAGGTTAGCAGAGTCTGTAACCTGAAGCGTCTGTAACCTGGGGAGCCCCTGTATGTGTGTGTGACAAATTCCAGAGGCGCCATCCTGCAATAGCTTGTAATGGATTGCTTTGAAGTCACTACAGGATCAGATTAAAAAAACCACACATTTACCCACCACATCAACCCATTTTGCCAGAACAAAGGTGGCAGCCCTACTGTACTCTACACGGACTGGCAATGGTGTAGTGTGGTGCAGTGTAGTGGTTAAGAGCGGTGGACTCCTAATCTGGTGACCAGGGTTCATGTCTCCGCTCCTCCACATGCAGCTGCTCGGTGACCTTGGCCTAGTCACACTTCTTTGAGGTCTCTCAGCCCCACTCACCTCACAGAGTGTTTGTTGTGGGGGAGGAAGGGAAAGGAGAATGTTAGCCGCTTTGAGACTCCTTAGGGTAGTGTTGTTGTTTAGTCGTTAGTCGTGTCCGCCTCTTCGTGACTCCATGGACCAGAGCATGCCAGGCACTCCTGTCTTCCACTGCCTCCTGCAGTTTGGTCAGACTCATGCTGGTAGCTTCAAGAACACTGTCCAACCATCTCGTCCTCTATCGTCCCCTTCTCCTTGTGCCCTCCATCTTTCCCAGCATCAGGGTCTTTTCCAAGGAGTCTTCTCTTCTCATGAGGTGGCCAAAGTATTGGAGCCTCAGCTTCCAGTGAGCACTCAGGGCTGATTTCCTTAAGAACGGATAGGTTTGATCTTCTTGCAGTCCATGGGACTCTCAAGAGTCTCCTCCAGCACCATAATTCAAAAGCATCAATTCTTCGGCAATCAGCCTTCTTTATGGTCCAGCTCTCACTTCCATACATCACTACTGGGAAAACCATAGCTTTAACTATACGGACCTTTGTTGGCAAGGTGATGTCTCTGCTTTTTAAGATGCTGTCTAGGTTTGCCATCACCTTTCTCCCAAGGAGCAGGCGTCTTTTAATTTCGTGACTGCTGTCACCAAAGCGGGATATCAAATCCAAAATCTTCTTCCTCTTCTCTTCTGCATGCAAAGCTTCTTTGCTGTGGCCCTTCCAAAAGGGCTCAGCATCAGGGCATCTGTCTTGCATACAGGAGGTGCCAGGCTAATACGTATAACCATAGAATTGTAGCGTTGGAAGGGATCCGATGGTCATCTAGTCCAACCCCCTGCAATGCAAGAATCTCAGCTAAAGCACGCATGCCAGGTTGGCATCTAAGCTTTGCTTAGAAACCTCCAAGGAAGGAGAGCCCACCACCTTGTAAGGGAAGTCCATTTTGCTAACCAGCAGCTGTTGCTGTCAGATCTTCAGTTTGCCAACGAAGCGCGCATGCGTAAAACTCCCAAGGCTTGCAAAGTGGGGGCAGGTCCTGCCACTCAAGTCTTCCGATTTGGGCAAAGGAACCCAGCCCTGCTTCCTAGAGAGGCAGGAAGTATGATTCGAAAAGCGAGGGAGGCGGAGGAAGGAGAGAGAGATTGAGATTGCTGAAGGGGCGGGACGCCATCCCTAACTCGGCCTGGATGGAGAGAAAGGAGCTTGGAGCAGGCAAAGGAGAAAGGGGTGCGCAAAGGAGGAAGGGGGGGAGGGGGGGTTTGCTTTTGGAGGAGGGTTCAAAGGAGCCCCACCCCCAGCTTCCCTGTTTAGGAACCCCCTGATAGAGCAGCGTGGGAAGAGGCGCATCCGTGCAGCCCACTTGCCACGCGCGCAGTAAAAGCGCGCCGCGGTTCCCAGCGCAAGATCCACCGCGATCCAGTATCAACGCTGTAGTTCTAGGCTATGGAGAAGGGAGTGGGGGGTTGGGGCGGGGAAGACGCCCTTTCTTGGGGGAGAGGGAGACACGCGAGGAAAAGAACTCACTTTCTCCGCCCAGTAGGTGCATGCAGGCAGTTTGCAGACTTCTTCTGAAATAGCTCCTGGGCTGTCACATGGAAGAGGGAACCAGCTTGTTTTCTTCTGCACCGGAGGTAGGACCAGAACCAATGGCTTCAGGTTACATGAAAGGAGAATCCCACTAAACATTTGGAAAAACTATCCGACAGTAAGAGCTGTTTGACAGTACAGTGGACGCTCAGGTTGTGAACGTGATCCGTGCGGGAGGCACGTTTGCAACCCACTGTGCACACGCGGGTCGTGATTCGGTGCTTCTGCGCATGCGCAAAGCGCGATTTAGTGTTTCTGCGCATGCGCGAGCACTGAGACCCGGAGGTAACCCGTTCCGGTACTTCTGGGTTTGGCGCAGTGCACAACCCGAAATTGCGTAACCTGAAGCATCTGTAACCGCAAGGTGTTGTTGTTGTTTAGTCGTTTAGTCGTGTCCGACTCTTCGTGACCCCGTGGACCAGAGCACGCCAGGCACTCCTGTCTTCCACTGCCTCCCGCAGTTTGGTCAGACTCATGTTTGTAGCTTCGAGAACACTGTCCCACCATCTCGCCCTCTGTCGTCCCCTTCTCCTTGTGCCCTCCATCTTTCCCAACATCAGGGTCTTTTCCAGGGAGTCTTCTCTTCTCATGAGGTGGCCAAAGTATTGGAGCCTCAGCTTCACGATCTGTCCTTCCAGTGAGCACTCAGGGCTGATTTCCTTAAGAATGGATGCGTTTGATCTTCTTGCAGTCCATGGGACTCTCAAGAGTCTCCTCCAGCACCATAATTCAAAAGCATCCATTCTTCGGCGATCAGCCTTCTTTATGGTCCAGCTCTCACTTCCATACATCACTTCCATACATCATACCTTGTAACCCCAAGGTATGACTGTAGAATAGAGTCCTTCTGTAGGTGGTGGGCTTTCCTTCCTTGGAGGTTTTTAAGCAGAGGTTGGATGGCCATTTGTCATGCATGCTTTAGCTGAGATTCCTGCATTGCAGCTGGTTGGACTAGATGACCTTTGGGTCCCTTCCAACTCTAAGATTTTATGATTCTCCAGCTGCAAAGTGGTCACCCGACTGCCTTGTTTTCAGTGCAGAGTCTTCCAACCCACCCCATTTGGCTCAGGGGACATAGCCTTGGAGGGGAAGTTATATGGCGAGAAGTGGGGCTGGGATTTGCTGAACTGTTCTTTACGAAGCCGACTCAGAATCCAAAACCCAGTCACGGGGGTAATCTTGGTTGTTCGTTCATTGAATTCATTTCCTACCTTTTTCTCCAAGGAACTGAAGGTGACCTACATGGTTCTCTCCTTCCCAGTGCAGGTGCCAGGCTATTTTGCGCCCTGGGCAATGCTAACTATCACCTATGGGACCACCTCTCCTGGAATGCCCTGCGGAGGACCATAAGGTCCACAAATGACAACATTTTGGAGGTTACAAGGCGGTTAGATTGGTCTCAACTAGGACCAGGGCCTTTTCAGTACTGGCCCCGACTTGGTGGAACGCACTGACACAAGAGACTAGGGCCCTGCGGGAGTTGATATCTTTCCGCAGGGCCTGCAAGACAGAGCTGTTCCGCCTGGCCTTTGGTTTGGACTCAGTCTGACCCTTCTGTTTCCCTCCCCTTGTGGTTTTGATCTATGGGCTACTTTTAAAATGAGGCTGCATTTTAAATTGCATTTTAACCTGTATTTTAAATTGCTTTTACTGTAATTTTACTGGTGTTAGCCACCCTGAGCCCGGCACCGGTCGGGTAGGGTGGGGTATAAATAATTTTTATTATTATTATCAGTTATAATACAACAAACAAACATATAAACAAACAAATGAAAAGAGACCACCAGCTGACTACTGATGGAACTCGTCATTCACAGATCATACATTGATCAGCGTTTCCCAGACTTGGGTCTCCAGCTGGGACTACAATTCCCATCATCCCTAACCACTGGTCTTCCTAGCTAGGGATGATGGGAGTTGTAGTCCAAAAAAACAGCTGGAGACCCAAGTTTGGGAAACACTGACGTAGAGGGGGGAAACAAAAGTATGAAGGATGGAATCCTACTCACTCCCTGTCTCTCCTTTGCAGGCATTTGCAAGCTACACCCTATTTTAAAGGACATCTTCGCAACAGCTCCGGGTGTCCCAGGAGGGGTCCAGTTTAGGCCTTT